ATACACTAGTATAAAAATCTAAATTAATTAGACAAAACCTTTCTGGGATTCATGCAGAACTGATAAGAATATCAAATGCTATTATTGAACCGATATGATTTCAATAATCAAAACGCTTTCATCTATCTTTTATATTTGGCTATATTTGTCATTTTCCATTTATAACCGACATTTTTCACTAAAAACCGGTTTTGGAATTCCATAATTTTTTGCCAAACAACGGTTTTTAAAGCCCTATCTAAGATTGATCTTCAAATCATGATTTTTATCAATCAACGTACAACTAATAAAATACTAATAAAATATTTTTTGCTTCTCTTTTATTAATGATCTACTCTTAATGCTTTTTCTTCTTTTATTATAAGTTATTTTTAAACGTATTCATCACTAGTTGCACTTTAGTGCTTTTTGGTATAGCCGAGTAAGCTTTAAACTGAGAGAACGAAAGAGAGCTTTTAATTGACAAACATTCCAGGAGAAACGGATGGTGATATTCTCACTTGGCCGCGTGGATGAAGTGATTTCAACTGAAATTGCCGCTTTAGAGGACGATTATATTCATGCACATTTTCCGGAAATATTCTACGATGGAGATAATTTATATGCACTATATATTCTAATAACACTCATTTGTGCTGGATAAAACCTTAGACATAAACATCACGATGACATCAAACGTTTTTTTCAACAATTTTGAAACAACGATTCAATAACATTGCTAAAATAGTAATATCAATCGACTAGTACGTTTGTCTCACTTTTTTATATGACTGAGACTGGAATTCAAGAACAATGGAAATTGTAGTCTTAACTGAAAAGTCGCGCGCGCACATGTTATTTCTTCCTTCGTTGACACACCATTGCGTTATTGAAATATTCAATCACTCAGCTCTTGGTAAATGTAATGACGTTTACCATTGTCTGTAGATATCTGGCAATAATAATAATTCTCTGTAGATGTGACAGTTCTTCAATATTGTACAAATTCCATCGTCGACCCCTTTGTAATCAAATCGCCCTTTTTGATCATCATACACCCACTCCAAATTCAATTCGCTGAAGGGTGGAAACTCGAGCAGGCTTATTGTACTTAGCACCATTTATTAATAAATTTCAACTGAATATAAATTATTACATTTTTTTATAGATGAAAACATATTGATGTAACTTGATTATTAAGCTAATTCGTAGTATTTAATTTTAAGGGAAATTTAAATTCAGCGCTTTCATTACCTTTACTTTTTGAATATAATATACTTTACTAATATAATTATGCTCACATAGAAGCAAATGATTAACAATTTTATTATTACGATGCAGATTCATTAAAAATAAAAAAAGGAATAATTAACTTTAATTTGCATGCATTTATTTAACAAATCAAATTCTACTTGAGAATGAGAATCGAACTTGATACGAAAGTGTTGATATGAAAAATCGCAACTTATGTAATCTAGTCTATATGCAATTATAGTCTTTATTCTAATTGTCTAATACTTGAAGATAACTCATCAAAAATTTTAATAACTAGTTCATCAAATATAATGTATTTGCAAAGGGCCTTTTGTAACTTTACGTCTGGAGTTGTTAAAATCGGGCTTGAAATTGAGAAGATTTGAATTTAAATTAAACTGTAATTATTTATTATCAAACATATAGTAATTAATAGAATTCGCTAGAAACCGCAAAAATTCTGTATTCATAAAAAAATATCGATTTTACGTTCACTTGTAAGTTAGTAGAACAGTGGTCGAAAAACTTTTTAATCATTACCCCAAAATATTTTTTCCTAATTTGGTAGAGAGAGTTTAATCGAATACGGACAACTAGTCAGGAAATAATAAATATCAATTAACAATACATACTTTTTACCCCCAAAAGTTCCATTTTTACCCCATTTGTGGTAATTTACCCCGGTTCCTCGACCACTGCGGTAGAAAATAGAGTAAATATAATTCTAATTGCTTTTTTAGATATGATGTTTTTGATTGAAATTGTAAAACTGAAGTCAGGACGAAAAGTACCAAAAATTGAGTATATATACTGTTTATGAGGATAAGAATGATTTTACTCAATATAAGCAAAAAATGACAAGGACTACTTCAAATATTTAAAATTGATTCAATATATTAAAAATTTAAATATCAAACATGTAGAAGATTGATACCTGAATTATTTATATCAAAACAATGAAAATGTAATAATAATTCTGGCCTGAGAACAGGGGCGTAACTACCGCCGTATCAGCCGTATCAAAAATACGGGGCCCCCGAGCCAAGGGGGCCCCCAATGAGCACAATCAGAAAGCAAAACAACAATTTTTTTAAAAAATGAATAATTTTAACGCAGTTTGCATTTTCTTTTGTAATCGAGAGGTATTAAACTTCAACATGTAAGCTTTGAGAGAATTTATTTCTGCTGCAATATTTCTGCAAGCTCTAGCAATCAATTCAATTAGTAAATTTTTGCATATCCGAAAAGTTAATATTCTTGTCAACAATCTATAAAACTAATCCAGTTTATACATTTTTCATCAAAAATTGGAATTTGGAATTTTTATAGTTATATTTATAACATTTTTATATTAGTTTTTGTTACTACTTAAATTGTTTAATAGTTAGATTTTGCTAAATATGATCAACTAAATCATTTTCAGAGATCTTTCTTCACTGTTTTAAATTATTAGTTTCATTTCTAGAATTTCACAATATGACAGTAATGACTTATAAAAAACTAGCATTTTATTATTAATCTTTTGAATAGACCGTGCAAATTAAAACATGAAAATTTAGTGAATTAGTTTGCAAAAGAAGTCGAATATTCTGCAAAAAGATGGATTGCAATAATTATTTCAAAGAACAAAAGACAAAAGATAATGAAGCGTTATTATGATGAGTTATCACAAGATGAGAGAATTTTAGACCCAAAATCTTATTTTAGTGTATACTATTTGCTGTTTGGATATATTAATTTCATAAACCAAATAAAGATTGCGACGTAAATAGTAACATTTGTCTTTTGAAATGAAGAATTAATAAACGTTTCCAGAAATCTGTCGACTGAACTACAGTAAAAAATACTGGCTCTATACTAGAAATAGATTTGAAGTAAAAAATCTAAGAAATGTGATGGATGCATTTTTCCAAAGAAATAACAACATGCATTTTTCTCTTGGCCCTTCCAGTTACAATCGCAATCGCAAAGATTTTTTTTAAAAATGAAACTAATTAAAAATTACGTAAAAAAATTAGGACAGAAATGTCTCTCAGACCTATATGTGCCTAGTGACAGAATCCTTATAATATTTAAAGATCATTAAATAATTTAATTTTTCAAAACAATTCAAAGAAAGTGAATACCTATCTGGAATCATTTGTGAAAAATTCAGAAAATGAGAGAAAATTAGATAGATAAATAATAAAAGCGATAAATAAATATTATTTTGATTTTATGTATTTTGTAAAAAAAAAATTCTTCTTGTGGGGGGGCCCCAACAAATTTTGATACGGGGCCCCGCCAAGGCACGCTACGCCCCTGCCTGAGAACATTTTCTAATTGGGATTTGGTTTTAATGTTTGAATTTTTTTTGAGTAGAACACAATTTGCAAACGTTCCTATGTTGCAAAATGTTTTTTATATCATTTTTGTTACGGTCTTTAGTTAACTTGTAAAACAGATAGTTTTAGGAATGAGGATTCGAGCTTTTTGTGCAATCAAAATGATAACGTTAGGTCTTACGGTGTGCTTTTATGTCATTATATAGTTATTCAGAATTTTACGAAGACTTTATGTTGCAATAAGTAAGAAATATATAATATATATATATATATATATATATATATATATAAAATACAATACATAAAATTTATGTATTATATTTAATTCAAATATATCGTTCAAATAGTGGCGCCAACTAAGTATCATCTGCTCTAACTTCACAAGTATCTTTGACAGCTCAGAATTGAACCTTCCTTGACTTTGCTTTGTAACTGTCATTGTTTATTACTGATTCTGCTACATAATGATGAAACTGGTTTCTGACATTTAATTTAATGAATAGTGTATGAATTATAAAGTATCTTGTTTAACCTGTTCTCAGTAATAAACACAACAAACAACTTTTCATAATATTGTACTTGGATCTGTATATCAATTGAATTATTTTGAGGTTAGTTTGCACAATAAGTACTTTTATTAATTGAAATATTAATATCAAATGTCATAGTATATAATTTTTTAGCATTATGTCGGGCGTAGAAGAACCACTGCAGAATCTTTCAATAAATAACGACAGCAATATAGAAAATTCTATAAAGTTAGTCCCATGTAGCTTTCAATTCTATTCATTCTCCGAGAGTTTTCATGATTGCATATGTCATTATCATGTTATTCAAATGAGTAACAGTCTATTCATTTATATTGGAAACAATAAAGAAATGACAAATATTGCTTTATCGATGTTAACGATGCATTCAAAGGCCCCTGTTAGCACTGTTTTGTTTGGTGAGACTACAGATAACATTTCTCTTGGAATCGCTAACAGATTATCGAAGCGACTGTCTAAACAAGTATTTGTTAGTTATAATTTAGGACAGAATAAAATTCTCATAGCGAGTATTGAGAAAAGGTTACTCGAAGAAATTAATAAACACCCAACTAAGTTTTAAAGCTTATTGGTTTTTGATATTTTTGATATTTTGTATCTATAAAGTATGGAATAAATTATTTTTTTATATATTATTTGTGTTAAATTTTAATAACTTATATCATATTCTAACATGTGAATTTATGAAGAATAATATGATTATTTCAAAAATCTGAATGTTTATATATACTTATAGTTCTTGTGCCTTATAATTTAAATAAAAATACCCTACATAGTATGCATTGGACTGCACTATAGTATATTTAAATGATGTACAAAACCTTTAATAATCTTACCAGCGGAATTTTAAAGTTTTTTTAAATTAAATTAATTTAAATTTAAGCGACAACTACTATTCAGGCGCAAATAAATTCGTATTGTGTGATGGAGAAAAATTTAAAATTTATTTTATAAAGTGTTTTTTATTTTCAATATAATAACAATCGATTATAAAATGTTATTCTACAGTAGACCTTATATTGCTGTAGGAAATATTAAAAACACTATCAATATGAATAATAATAAAAATTAAATTTAAATCTAAGTATATTCTAACTATTTGTTTAATTTAAGGAGTTTCACCCTCTTAAGTCTAAAAGTGCAGATGGATTACATAACTAGTCTAAACAAACTCGTTAGGGTGATTTTTGATTCATTCCTTAATTTTTGAGAAAAATTTCTCTTTTACAATATTCAAATCTCGGTGCTGAGATTGTTGTATAACTATAAGTACATTTTTTCGGAAACGTTGTATTTCCATAAAGAAAAGCTTATAAAATATTGAATTTCCTATTTCCTTATCCGTTTTCCATTACTTTATATCTGATATAATTCATAACGTACACAAATGACACAAAAAAGTCATTGGTCAACGTGTTTTTTCTCACACAAATGGATTATTGCTCATAGTCAATAATAACTTTCCATCACGTTTTTATTAAATTAATATAAATAGTAATACAAATTGCATTTTCCATCAAAAAGAACTGCTAAGAACATGATAATAAAAAATATTCTATTATCTATAATAATATTCTCTTTAGCAATACTGTTCGATCGCTACAATGATTTCAGTCGACATTAAATAATGATCAAGTGTAAATCGGATGTAATGGATGAAAATGAATTATTAAATTAAGGTAATTGATGGAATCTATATAGGACTTGAATGTCAGCTACAGATTTATTAAGTATTGCCTTACGCGAAGTGAAGTTTTATTAAAATCCTGAACCTTCGATTTATTCTATATATTTGTAGTTATCTAGTATATATTATGGAAGCTTATAGGTTGTAACAATTATTTATTTATTGATTAATTCATCAAGTAATTTTCTATTAAAATTCGGAACTTTTATTTATAAACTCCTTGCAATTAAATTGTATGAATCAATAATGTTTTACAAATAATTTTATCAAGTTTCAAAGGTCTTATCTACGTTTGATAAATTTAATTACATATTTTTTTGTAAATTTACAATAAGTCTTTATTTACTAAATTTCGATCATTATTGGTCTTTTCCATCAGTTATGATATATGAAACTATCCATATGTTAAGAGCTCAAGAAGACCATGCTAAGGAGTTCAAATAAGGAAAATCTAAATCAGTTATTCGAATTATGTATCAATTTCTCTATTTGCTCTATTTTGGGCCCTTTTCTAAGTGGATTGTTAGAGTTATGGTCATAAATTGATTAATAGGAAAGACAATAGCAAATCAACGTCGGAAAGCAAAACGCATTATGGCAAATTGTGCGACGTCGTGTCATTGGCCTTCCCGCGTTTTATGCACGGCGGAACACAACATTATCCAAGTCCAACGAAAGTATTTCTTTCATAGCGGTGAATTTATTATAATATATACCTATCTATCTCATAATACAGGGATTGGAGATCAATTATTCAAAAAAAATAATTAAAATCTTAAATATAAATAAGCATATAATATTTATTGAAATGTGATGTACATGTAGCTGCTGCATGAATTTGATTGATCTGTGAAATTTTTACTCAATGATCATACAATAATCTCTACAATTATATCTTCAGTATATTAAAAATAATTACTTAGAACTAGAATTTCTATTATTTAATTATATGATAAAAATGAGTTTTTTTTTAATCAGGATAATAGTTTTAATGATCAAGGATACTACAATTAGTACAATATTTTTCTGAACTGTGATCTTTCTTGATTTTAAACATTTTTATATGAAATTTTGTGCATTTTTTCATTATTAATTTAAGTAACATTGCTTTTAGTGTGTTTATCTCACTTTGCGAATTATGATAGGGGATCCATTAATCACGCGATCGATTTTTTAGGAATTTCTAGATTCCCCCTTCAAAACATCACGTGTATTTTTATTTACGAAAAATTCGTATCTTTTTTGAAAATGTTAGGATTTTTTTTTAAAATCAGGTGAAAAATGATTACACATGATATCTTACTAGACCCCTCCCTCCCCCAACGTGATTTTTTGTCAAACACCCCCCTCCTCCTAAAAGCCTCACGTGAATGATGGACTCCCTCACATATGTACACTCTTTCTTTTTGAAAATAAAAACTTTTTTAAAAATTTGGGACAATCGGGGGGTAAATAGAATATAAAAGATAATTTAGAAAAATTCTGGGCGCATTCTGGTAATCCTGAACTGATCTGTTTTTGGTAAGAACATTCATATTATCAATATGTCAATATAACCAATCGCTTAGTGTTTGCGGGATAAATTTCAAATAGATTATTTAGAAAATCATTGTTTTTCACATGGGCAGTTATACGTTGCCTGTTCACAAGTTGGAAAACCATCCGCTTCGTTTGTGTTAACGTCAGACCAAAATAAAAAAAATGTGTTTTACCAAAGAGCACTTCAATGAGGCGGATAATTTGCGGATTCACTTTCATTTACTTAGAGAAGTTCAACTCAAAAACACTTCATTTTTGTAATCGAAATAAAATCATTACTGTTGTATAATAAAATCAAATTTTTTCTTTTCAAATATAAAACAAACAAAACATTTCTTTCATCTTCATCTTTCTCACGATACTAACTGGTGGCGGAACGGAGTTCGTCGGGTTGGCTAGTATAATATAAATACCATTATTTAGATTTACAATTTTAAAACTATTATTTTAATTTTATTATTATTTTTTAATAAAATTTACACCAGCTATTAGTTTAATCGTAGCTTTAGCTCAATTTGCCTACTTGTACAAAAGATATATCCGCTTTCCAATTGCTCTGCTAATTCTATACTTATATAACATGTTATCTATATGGATCAAAACCATGTTCAGAAGCAAATCCGCGATAAAAGTGTCAAAATATGAATTAATTCGTTTGTTCTACTTAAGATTATGAAATATTGAGGTGTTTGTTCTTTTCAGAATAGAATAAATAAATTGCGTATTTAGTAATTACAAAATTGTATAATTTTTCCGGTTGCGGATAAATTTTGGCATAAATTTGTATATGTCGCATTATTATATGACATTATTTTGACGATCTTGAAAGATATTGATGTAATCATGTAAATTTTCTTTGCCGTTGATTTACCAAATTTGGGACGTAAAGTTTTCAAATAAACTATTTAATTTAATATTTTAATTTCCAATTTTAACACACTGATTTTATCTAAAACTTGAATTAGAAAACACTATTTTTCATATTCTGTGGTACGTTTCAAAATAAGCTGTTTGTGGAGACTTTATTGTTTTTTAAATCGTTTTAGAAATTGATTTACTTCTACTTTGAGGTAATGCTGCTCATTATTCAACCGCTAATCCGCAGGTTGGCTAAAAGATTTACGCTCGGTATTGTAAATTTTCATGGATGTTAAAATTATTATATCAATATTCAATGTGAGGTTTCGCTGATACTTTAACAATATTCATTTCCAAGAATCGTAATCGTGTGGTACAGGTTTATGTTTATTTTGTAACTTAGAAATAAAAAATAGATTTTAAACTAAAAAACCAAATCGACTGAACAACGTGCTATTTGATTTTATCATCTTGCACATAAAAAACGTCTCTATTATCAGATCGACATATCGATTGTTTATTAATGAAAGGTATAATAATAACTTTCATCGTTGAAATATACTAAAACTTTCCACCTGATCATGTTATTATATATAAATTCTGTACTTTCTTATCGACTTACTCTTAATATTAATTGATCCGCTTCCAGATGCACATATGAATGATTGAATTACACATATCAAGATATGTAACATTTTTCTTATTTATTTAGTTCGTCATAAAGAAAGTAAAATTGATGTCGATCAATTAGAACTAGTTTCGCGCATTTCGCTTCTATTAAATAATGGCAAAAAGAAAAAATGAGAGCAATATGTAATTTGCATATCTTTAATCAATTTCTTTTATATTATTTGCATTTACCAGTTACGTTATGTATTATAAAACACATGGACAATTATATAATTATGTCGCCAAATTAATTTTTTATGTCTACACAAGGAATCATAAATTGATTCGTTATGTTCAATTACATAGGTAGTTTTGATATCTTTAATCTTTTTAAATTATACGTGTAATCGATAATTGAATAAATAACAATGAGATATAATGTAATGCGCAACTTCTCAATTGTAATTGATTTGATATTTGTAATTTATGTTTGAAAATTTAAATGCCTAAATGAACTCTATTTTGGTCATAACATTGCATATTGTCATTCTTAATTACTAATTGTTTTTTGTATTTTAAAAACAGATTGTAATTCAATCTTGAGAAATAAAAAACAATTGACAAACAAATGTTGTAATTATTATAGTTGTCTGCAATTTTTTAGCAAAATTTTTAGCCTGCATTTAAGCTCATAACTAACGGGCAACTAATTTGTAAAAATTGGATTAATTTCTAAAAGGTCTAGTTTGTTAAATAAATATTTATAATGAAAATATAAAATTTAGAGAAACATAACTCTATCTGAAAAAAATAACAGAATTTTCTTAGCAACATCTTTAGGCTTTTTTGTACTCTTTAATTACAATTTT